CAGAGATGGTTAGCCTGGAATGCTCTCATGGAAAATGAAAGTCTGGCTTTATAATGTAATTCAGGAAGATGGATGCTGCAATCATAGGGTTTGTTTGTTTGTTTCTAAAGATTGTTTGCACTTAAATAGCTGAATACTAGTAGAGAATTACCTTTAAAAGGTGTTTGGACATCCTGTAAAGCTGTGTTGTGGAGAAGAGAGATCCTTTGTATCTATTAAACATTTTATTTTAGTAATGTTTTCAGCTACAATTAATCTGTATAATATGTGTATATAATGTAATTCAGTGATGGGGAAAAATCAGTCATTACACTAGCAATTTTAATCATTTAAGAAAGTGATATTTCTAATTAAGAAAATACATATTAAACTATATTGAATATGCAGTTTTGTTTACATTCTGTTTAAATTAAATCAACTTTAATGTAACTTTTGAAAGTAATATTTTTTGTATGGACATGGCAAAAGCCTTGTAGAAGGTTTTTTTCTTTTTTTTTTGTTTTTTGAAAAACACTCAGGTCAGATACACTACCTATTTAACTGGGGTTACTTTTAGTAGAGGATATGTTATTTCCCAGCACTTTATTCTAACAATTTTTTCTTCCACTTTCAATTTTCTGAACACTACCATCAGTTCTTAAAATAAGCCTATTTTTTTAAGTTTGTAATTTAATAGTGTTACTAGCCATTTTCATACGTTAAATGCATTTTTTATCATTTGTTAGTGCCAGTAGAAATCACTTAAATGTTAGTTTAATGTTACTGTGACACAGTGCTAACAGCATACAAAACACAGTGATACTGTACTATAGAATAATGTGCCAAAGTACATAGTCATCCTGTTTCGAAGAAAAAAATTATGCCTTGTACTGGAAGATAATTTGAGAATCTACATAATCTAACTGCTGCTTGATTATTATTAAATTGATTTTTAGGACATTCAAGAGTGTAGAATTCCCACCCAGGTTTTTCGTTGGGAGAAAATGCTTTGTGTATGATGGCAGGAACTATGGGGCTGGGTACTTCTCTCCTGAAACTGAAAGCTCTGGCATCCTGATTTTAGGTAGAGGTATTAGGTCTGCCTCATTCAGGCCATCCTCATAGGATGAAAATAGTTTCCTTGTCGTTCTTATTTTAGTCTGTTATGTAAATAAAGCTACATAACTAAGGATAAAAAAGATTGTGCTTAATGTTTGTGATTGTAATATACTTTCCACTCCAAAAGAAACATGCTGCAGTTCAGAGAACGTGTGGTATGTAAAACTCCATTCCAAGGCTTTCTTTCAACTTCTTTAGAACTAGGTTTTTGCATAATCTTTTGGAAACTCTGCAGCTAGGCCCACATCCTTCAGAAGCTGTTCCTCACCATAAGGTGAATCATATTCTAATCTAAACAGTAAGTTTCAAAAATTGTTGCACTTTACATAAGCCCTTTAACATGCCCAAAAGGAGCTCTCTCCATTGTAATCCTTGTGCACTAGGGAAAGAGCAGCACTAAGACACTTTGTTCTGCATATTCCAAACTGCTAGGTTTCAAAGAAAACAGGACTATTTCAGCTTCACTCTACTTATTTAGATTTAGATTGCACATTCCTTAAAGGTCTACTTCTGTTCAGAGAAGAGTCATACTGTCAGCAGAAGGGAAGGAATGATATTCACTGATCTTTTTACATGCTTCTCCCGTAGCTGTTTGTACATTCCAAAACTCTATTCTGAAAAGCCCCCCACCAGCAAAATTTCCCTTTCTGCTGGCAAGCATGAAATCTGGGTTTACATTATCGTCTTTACTACTTTATCTGAGACTATTGGCCATTTGTGGCGTACCCACATCCTGGAAAGCTGTATGTGTTCAGTAGAAATAACAAACACTTCATTAACATAAATCTCTTTGATATTAGCCTTGAGTAGGTTAATAGATTATGAACAGATTTAACACGTAACAAATACAAGGTGGTGAATTTTCTGCAAAACATTCCCTATTACAGAAAAAGTTGCAGAGGCTGCCACATATGTGTGTATGTGCATGTGAGCAAGTAGCTTTTCAGCAGAGGCTGTATGAAATTCTTGCTCAAATTATCTCATAGCATTTGGTTGCGAATGGGAAAAGAGACAAGAATCCTGTGGTGAAATTATAAAACTAAAGAACAGGCTATATTCCTCTGCCCAGTTTCCTCAGACTAAAGCTTTGTGCAACTTGTTTCTGCACAGCTGTGTGTTGAATCACACTGTAACTAAGTTAAATAAGACACTAGTGCAAAGGAGATAGAAATTAGACATCAGAGTGGTAGAATGTGCTAGTTACTAGAGAGTTGCTCCACTTCAGTATTTTAATGGAAGAAAACATTCCTCACCCTTCCTGAAAGAAGTCTTATTTCTCCAAGCCCTGGTATTTAAAGGCAGCCATGAAAGAATGGCATTTCCAAACCAGATTATTCTCAAGTAAAGGTAAAATCATTTCTGGATAGATTTCTTGGATATGTCTCTTCCAAATGCTATGTAGCTGGTCTGTCACCAGTGCTATAACATTCCACTAAAAATACTGATTGGGACCTGTGAAAATGAGCAAATCTTGTGAAATTTTGCTAGATGTGCTGCAGCTATCCCAAGTTGCATCCTCTGACTAAGTCTGTCTTATCCTTTCCCTTCTAAGAACGAGATCTATTTTTGTAGCATAAGGGCTAGAAACACGAAGGCAAAAAATACATTTGGATGCTTAACTTGGTCAATATTCTCTAATGTGTGCATGGAAATGCTGGAAATTATTCAGTCTTGCACCTTTTTCAGTGCCTTTTAGCAAATCCCATATGATCAACGCTACTGTTGTCACCATTTTTATTAATTTTCTAATAATTCTATAAAAGTATCTTCCTGCTTTTATAGCACAGGGACAAGTCACGTATAAAAGCTCTGTGAGTGCTGCATTGGTAACCCCAATTGTCAGTGCGTATCTACAGACCTGTTGGCATGGAGCTGCTCCTCCAAGCAAGTTGCCATCAAAATGTGAATGAAATGAGAGAAATTTCTAACTAGTTTCCTGTGGAGCTCCCCCTTGTTTGTTTGATCAGGTTACCTGAAACCTCTGTACTGGAATGCCAGGGATTAAATTTGGTATAGATTAAGACTGTGACGACTGAGTTCTATTAGTTTTATCAATGTCAAGGTCCTACAAATTCTGATTGTTGGGAAGGAACTGCTGGCATTTTGAAAAGTCTTTTTCACAGGATAAATGTACTTCAATCTTAGATAGCCTCTCATAGATTTGGATTAGAAAGGAGGAACACTTATTCAACTCATACTGAACTTTCCCCAGTGATTTTTGTTTTTAATAAGGACCTTGTTCCAGGATCTTGTGTCCAACACTGTGGATTTGTATAAAGCCAATAAACTTCTGAAGTGCCAATGTCAGTGCATGATTGGCTTGATATTTTTCACTCTTACCTGTAGCAAAAATGTTAAGCCCTTGGAAATTTATTGGTTTAAATCCAGACTATCCATGAACTCAACTCACAGGACACGGTGGTGGAAGTAGTAGTAGTGTGGGAAAGGCTACTTTCAGTGATCCTCCTTTTCACTCCATGGTCTCTACACACCCTACTCCTCATGGAGGGAGGGTTTGGGTGTCTTCCAGAACAGTGTGGAAAGCGTAATAAAAATCATCAGTGAGAAAGGGTAAGCATTAAAAAAAAGTTCCCTTCTACCAACACTCCACTGGATCTCAATCCATACTGCAAAATTACTGTATGAAATTTTTGTTTGCTAGATGGAAAATCTTTAGCCAATTCAAACTGTGTTTTGATATAATCTAAATAGTGTCCTCAGTTTTAGGGCCTAAAAGAATGGCTGCTTCATGCATTTCTGTACTGTTGGATTTACATGTCCGTAGACTGGTTTGCATTCTCTTTGCATACATATTTAGCACTCCTACCACAGCAGCCTCCAGAAGAGAAGTAAGTAAGATCTTGGTTATCCTTGTACCATCTATCCAGCTCTTATAGTATTACTCTTTTTTTAAAACAAAAAACTTGCATTAATGGGTCTGATGCTATGGCAGGTTTTCACTTCTAATCCTTTTGTTCATGGAAATGGAAATCAGTGCAGTGTACATGCAGTACCATGTTGATTAAGTAAGATCCATTAAGCTTTCTACTCTGAAGATCAATGTAATACCAGTAACATATTAGAAATGCACAAACTGTTTCTTGTTACACAAAATATGTGTTACAGAGATGGATTTCTTTTGTTAGTATTTTTTCAAACTTTGTCTTTAATAAAATAATCCTAAAATGTCATCTTGTATTTATTGGCAGCTATCATAGGCTAACTTTGTAGAAATCATCTTCCTCCACTCTATGGTATTTCCAAATATTACTAGTTTTTCTGGCAGAAATACACAATATAATTTGAAACTGTTGTTTTCTGAGGTATATTAGTGTGGCAAATTTTACTTCAAGTACAACTTCCTTACAGTGCTCAAGCTTCTGTCCTAGAGGGTGGGGTAGGCAACTCTGCCAATTCCAGGAGCAAATTTTCTGCCTCATGGGGCTGCAGAAATAGCCAAAACTACTGGAAGTGGAGAGAAACTGATCTTCACTATTCAAAAATGGTTATTTTGGGGTGTTGCAGAGATAGTGGCCACCTCTGACTCATTAAAAGATTAACAGCAAGCCACATTCACCGTTTTGCCAAAATAAGGGGGCTACTGGAAGGCCACATGAATAATGCATACAGAAATAATCTGTGTGTTCACATAAATAACTCCAAAAATATAGTTTTACACCAATGGCATTTAAATCAGGTTTTGCAACATACTCCAAAAGATAACTAATCAGACTCAGGTTCTGAAATGACTATCAGAAAAGGCTGATTTTGATTAGACACCTCTACAATGACACCAACCAAAAGAATACAGAGATTCCATTTTAACATGTTATGAACAAACACGATATAGCATTTAATATAAAAATTATAATTTCATTTTACCAGTGTTGCACAATTAAATATATAACTCACTTAAGAAAAACATTTTGTATATTGGAATTTTTAAAAAACAAACATTTCATTCTGAACTATGGAAACGTTGCTTACATTGTGGGCTCTATTTTAAAAAAAGGAGGGGAGGAGCTTAAGTTCCAAAGGACTAAATCATTGTAGCATCTTGCTGCAGCATGTGAGGAGATAAGGCACTACTGCCGTAGGTATACCTTTTAAAGAATATGGAGAACACAAGGGATTATTGGGTCCATCAATATCCTCCACCTCTTCTTTCCAGAGCAGGCAAGTGGTACTGTTTCACAGGAGATTTAAATTCTTTCTGATTTTCAGACTGTTGATGAGACAACATAAGTTAAAACAGGATGTAATGTACCTGCATGAAATTGTATGTAAACTAATAAGCAAGGTAGAATTACCTTGCGATGTGTCCCAAAATATGTTATAGGCTGCAACACCTGGACTTGTCTGTTCGTTGCTGGGAAGGTAAAAACTGACTGAAATGTAGGATTGGGATAAGATGCCAGGTTGGTTACTGCAGGAACTGTCAGTTTTGGCAACTCTACTGCAAAGGGAAGTCCATGCTGTCCCAGTGGATTCTCCTGGGTTTGCCTAAGAAAGTTCTTTTAAAATAAAAGTAGAAGTTCATTTTTTCTTAAAGAACTAAATTCCATAGGCTGAATTAAGTGTTCAACCCCCTTTTTATGTACTTGGTTGTATTGTTGCCATGTCTGTTTCCATCAATGCACACAGAGAATAACAACCATCCCAATATGCTTTGTGTTTGAAAGAGTTCAAATAGAAAATGTCCAAACTATTCCTTGACAATTATTCCCCAAGCACTTCAGCTGTCAATGGAAAAAAAATAGGCAAGAGAGGTACTTACTATAAGAAGCAGATCTACATTTTTGTTGCTCTAATTACAAAACAACCCAGCATGTCAAGGCTAAACTGTGTTTCAAATTAATTTTCCAAACACCTCAAGAATTATGAATACCGTATTTTTCGCTCCATAAGACGCACCTCTCCGTAAGATGCACCTCTTTTAGGAGAGGAAAACAGGAAAAAAATATTCTGGCAAATTCATAAGGCAGTAGCAATAGATAGATGTTGTCACATCAATTACCTCAAACTTCTTGCAGTGTACAACACGGTGAGAGCTTTTGAACAATTTGTAGTTGGCAAAGTTATTCCAATAGCCACAGACAACAACACTACAATGCTTTATATCAACCACCAAGGAGGAACAAAATCCATGTCTTTCTTGCTACTAACAGTACAGT